TATAGTCTTTTGCATGAAAATTCGTGATCTATAGTCTTTTGCATGAAAAATCGTGTATTATAGTCTTTTGCATGGTGATCTACCTCGCATGAAATTTGTGATCTATAGTCTTTGCATGAAAATTCGTGATCTATAGTCTTTTGCATGAAAATTCGTAATCTATAGTCTTTTCCATGAAAATTCGTGATCTATAGTCTTTTGCATTAAAATCGTTATTATTTTTGCATGAAAATTGGCGATCTATAGTCTTTTCATGAAATTTCGTGATCTATAGTCTTTTGCATGAAAATTCGATCTATAGTCTTTGCATGAAAATTCGTGTACTATAGTCTTTGCATGAAAATTCGTGATTATAGTCTTTTGCATTAAAAATCGTGTATTTTAGTCTTTTGAAAAATTGGTGATCTATAGTTTTTCATGAAATTCGTGATCTATAGTCTTTGCATGAAAATTCGTGATCTATAGTCTTTTGCATGAAATTCGTGTACTATAGTCTTTTGCATGAAAATTCGTGTACTATAGTCTGCATGAAAATTCGTGTACTATAGTCTTTGCATGAAAATTCGTGATCTATAGTCTTTTCATGAAAATTCGTTACTATAGTCTTTTGCATAAAATTCGTGATCAATAGTCTTTTTGTGGTAAAGTATAATCTTTTGCATGAAAATTCGTGATCTATACTCTTTTTCATGAAATTTCGTGATCTATAGTCTTTTTATGAAATTTCGTGATCTATAGTCTTGCATGAAAATTCGTGATCTATAGTGCATGAATTTCGAAACTATAGTCTTTTGCATGAAAATTTCGTGATCTATAGTCTTTGCATGAAAATTCGTGATCAATAGTCTTTTGCATGAAAATCCGTGATAGTAGTCTTTTGCATGAAAATTCGTGTACTATAGTCTTTTTATGAAAATTGTTCTATAGTCTTTTGCATGAAAATTCGTGATCTATAGTCTTTTCCATGAAAATTCGTGATCTATAGTCTTTTGCATTAAAAATCGTGTATTTTAGTCTTTTGCATGAAAATTGGGATCTATATTCTTTTTCATGAAATTTCGTGTCTATAGTCTTTTGAAATTCGTGATCTATAGTCTTTTGCATGAAAATTCGTGTACTATAGTCTTTTGCATGAAAATTCGTGATTATAGTCTTAAAATCGTGTATTTATAGTCTTTTGCATGATCGTGATCTATCTTTTCATGAAAATTCGTGATCTATAGTCTTTTGCATGAAAATTCGTGATCTATAGTCTTTGCATGAAAATTCGTCTATAGTCTTTTGCATGAAAATTCGTGATATTCTTTCAACATGAAAATTCGTGACTATAGTCTTTTGCATGAAAATTCGTGACTATAGTCTTTTGCATGAAAATTCGTGATCTATAGTCTTTTCATGAAAATTCGTGAACTATAGTCTTTTGCATAAAAATTCGTGATCTATAGTCTTTTTGCATGAAAATTCGTGAGTATAATCTTTTGATGTGGTGATCTATAGTCTTTTTTATGAAATTTCGTGATCTATAGTCTTTTGCATGAAAATTCTGAAGTCTTTTGCGAAAATTCGTGTACTATAGGTTTCAATAAAAATAGTCTATAGTCTTTTGCATAAAATTTGTGTACTAGTCTTTGCATGAAAATTCGTGTTTTATAGTCTTATGAATGAATTGAAAGTGATCTATAGTCTTTTGCATGAATTCGTGATCTATAGTCTTTGCATGAAAATTCGTAATCTATAGTCTTTTGCATGAAAATTCGTGAACTATAGTCTTTTGCATGAAAATTCGTGATCTATAGTCTTTGCATGAAAAATTCGTGAATTATAGTCTTTTGCATGAAAATTCGTGACCAGTCCATGAAAATTCGTGAATTATTTACATTTGCATGAAATTTTGTGAACTATAGTCTTTGCATGAAAATCGTGAACTATAGTCTTTTGCATGAAATTCGTGTCTATAGTCTTTTGCATGAAAATTCGTGATCTATAGTCTTTTGCATGAAAAATTGTGATCTATATTCTTTTCCATGAAAATTGTGATCTATAGTCTTTGCATGAAAATTCGTGAACTATAGTCTTTTAAATGAAAATTCGTGAACTATAGTCTTTGCATGAAATTCGTGAACTATAGTCTTTGCATGAAAATTGTGAACTATAGTCTTTGCATGAAAATTCGTGATCTATAGTCTTTTGCATGAAAATTCGTGATCTATAGTCTTTGCATGAAATTCGTGATCTATAGTCTTTGCATGAAAATTCGTGATCTATAGTCTTTTGCATGAAAATTTTGTAAACTATAGTCTTTTTGCATGAAAATTCGTGATCTATAGTCTTTGCATGAAAATTCGTGAACTATAGTCTTTTGCATGAAAATTCGGATCTATAGTCTTTTGTATGAAAATTCGTGAATTATAGTCTTTGCATGAAAATTCGTGTACTATAGTCTTTTGCATGAAATCGTTAATTATAGTCTTTTGCATGAAAATTGTGAACTATAGTCTTTGCATGAAAATTCGTGAACTATAGTCTTTGCATGAAAATTTGTGATCTATAGTCTTTTGCATGAAATTGTGATCTTATAGTGTTTCTTTGCATGAAAATTCAGGATCTATAGTCTTTGTATGAAAATTTGTGATCTATAGTCTTTGCATGAAAAATCGTGAACTATAGTTTTTGCATGAAATTCGTGTACTATAGTCTTTTGCATGAAAATTCGTAAAACTATAGTCTTTGCATGAAAATTCGTGATCTATAGTCTTTTGCATGAAAATTCTGAACTATAGTCTTTGCATGAAAATTCGTGATCTATAGTCTTTTGTATGAAAATTCGTGAATTATATACTTTGCATGAAAATTCGTGAACTATAGTCTTTGCATGAAAATTCGTGAACTATAGTCTTTGCATGAAAATTCGTGAACTATAGTCTTTTGCATGAAAATTGTGTACTATAGTCTTTGCATGAAAATTCGTGATCTATAGTCTTTTTGCATGAAAATTCGTGAACTATAGTCTTTGCATGAAAATTCGTGAATATAGTCTTTTGCATGAAAATTGTGTAATTATAGTCTTTTTCATGAAA